GAGATGTCATTCCAGTTCTTTTTGTCGCAGTTACAATGTGCCCTGAGCTCAGTTCATTTTATACTCACCTTGTGCTGCTGCTCCACCCTTCGACTGCTCCCTGCAGACTAAGATGTGATCCCTGAACTCTGTTCGTTTTATACTCACTCTGTGCTGCTGCATCACCCTCCAACAGCTCCCTGCACATTGTTTCTGTTCAAATAATCATCCAGTGCCCTCTTGACTGTCTCAACTGATGCTGTCTCTTCCACACTTCCAGACTGTGCATTTCAGACTCAAACCAGTCAGTGTATGAAATAGCTATTCCTTGCATCACTTTTCCTATGTTTGATTGATTGATTGATTTATTGTTATGCGTACCGAAGTGTAGTGAAAACCTTCGTTTGCAAGCAGTACAAGCAGATCATAGTAAGCAAAGATGTACAGATCAGAAGTCGTGAAAAGACTTAGGCAGAGGCATACAGGTTATATTGCACAGGGCGTGCACTAGGCCCAATCAATGTTAGCTAGATCAGGATTATTTGAGGCTAGAGAGTCCATTCATCACTCTAATAATGGCCAGGAAGAAGATGTTCCTGAACCTGCTGGTGCATGTCTTCAAGCTTCTGTATCTTCTGCTTGATGGAAGAGGTTGTAGGAGAACATTACCGCGGTGCGATGGGTCTTTGATGATGTTGGCAGCCTTCCACAGCAGTGAGCCGTGTAAATAGAGACCATGGATGGAAGGTTGGCTTCCATGATGGTCTGGGCTGTGCACACCATCTTCTGCAATTTCTTACGGCCCTGGGCAGAGCAGCTGCCATACCAGCCCATTATACACCCAGACATTATGCTTTCAATGGTGCATCTGTAGAAGTTGGTGAGGGACCTTCAGGTAATACCAAATTTCCTGAGCCGCCTGAAGAAGAAGAGGCGTTGTTGCGCCTTCTCGACCGTCGCATCTACTTGGGAAGTCCAGGACAGGTCATTGGCTATCGTCGCTTTAATTCACTTTAAATCTATGCCATCTCATTCTCAAACCTTTACAAGTGAGAACAATTTCACCTTTTGATTCTCTCCAAATCTCTCATGATTTTGAAAACTTTTGTTAGATATCCTCTTCGCCACCTTCCCTCCAAGGAGAACAGTCCTGGTCTCTCCAACCAATTCTCAGAACTGAACTTTCTCATCCCTTGATCTATTTCCGCAAACCACTTCTGCACTTTCTCCAATGCGTTCACGTCCATCAGTATAGTGTGGCGCCCAGAACTGTAGAGAATACTCCAAGTGAGGTCTTGTATAAATTCAGCATAGCTCAATGATGCCACTTTCTGGAGCTTTCGAGGGTTAAAAACATGACATCTCAAATTAGGTGAAAAGAAATCTGATGGAAACTGTACAGGGGCAAGGTTTAATGAATTTCACTGTGCAGTACCCCTTGCCACAGGGCAGGGAGCATCATGACAGGAAAATGCTGAGCAGAAAAAAATCAGTATTCTTGGGAGAAGAGGGTCCTAAGTGCTCCATCACTATTGCACTGGAGTGGGATGGGAACACAGTTTTCTGACTTGGAGATCACAATGCTCCTGGTGGAGCTGTGGCGAATAAAAAATGGTCTCATTCTATAATCAAGGAAGGGTGAGGTCATTATTGTTTTATGTGTGGTATTCCTTTAAAACAAGGCCTGTATTTGTTCAGGAAATACTTCAACTGGTGAGAAACCACCTCCAGTGTAAGTGATTCTATATAAGTGCACTGTAGTGTATTTAAGTTTGGACGTAAAACTGTACTCCATCACATGCAAGTCCAAAATTTTATATAATTGGAGCTTGGATTTGTAATATTGTTGCTGACAAACCATCCATCACTTTTTGTTTTTGGTGGGTGCTTGGCAAAGGAAAGGGAAGAAGGTCATAATCCTGTAACCTGAAAAAAAATTATATTTTGATATTATGCCAGATGCGGTGTTGAGCTCATTTCAAAGACTATCAGACAATTACTTTCTCCGAAATCCATTTCTAATATAAATACAAATAATGTAACAGAACAACAGCTTGTGTTTGACATCTTGCAATGTGATTTAGCTTTAGATTGTGGAGGCACAGTACACGGCAGTCCATCAGAATCAAATGCATGAATACATTTGGCCAATTTTATTTGATAGGTTTCATTGGGTATTTTAGTAAAAAGCAGCTTAAAGATCATGAACACAGAACATTAAATTGTCATTGCCAATGTGCTTTTTTGCTGCTGAAGTTCGGGAGCACAGCAGCCTATTCTTTGATAAGCTCAAGGCCCTTTTACGATGAGGGTAACTGTGATGGATTGTTGCTATAATTATTCTCCAACTTGTTCCTAAAATGTGCCAGTGAGCTGGTTGCACCTGGTAAAGTGTGCCATTGTTGGAAAACCATTTAAAGCTTGGTGTCATTTTCCCCACTACCTCATTGGATGGTTTCAGGAGAAGCAGTAACCTCTCATCTGGAGTATTTTATATTAAAGCTCTTCTGCAGAAATCTATCATTTTTTTCAGAGGGACAATCCTTTGCTTTTTCATGGCGATTGGTATCTGTAATATGGTCAATCTGAACAACACTGGTCTCCTGCTGCTCAAGATTATTTACAGGGAGGTGATGGCCTAAAGGTATTATTTCTGGACTGTTCCTCCAGAGACCCAGATAATGTTCTGTGAACCCAGGTTCGAATCCTGCCACAGCAAATGGTGGAATTTGATTTCAATAAATACCTGGCATTAAGAATCTGATGATGACCATGAATCCATTATTGATTGTTGGGGAAAAACCCACCTGGTTCACAAATGTTCTTTAGAGAAGGAAACTGTCATTCTTACCTGATCTGCCCTACATGTGACTCCAGACCCACAGCAATATGGTTGACTCTTAACTGACCTGTGGGCAATTAGGAATCGGCAATAAATGCTACCTAGCCAGCGATGCCCCTCATCCTGTGAATGAATTACAAAAAAAAAGGCAGGGTAGTGGTGAAGACCATGAATCTCGTGGTTGAAAAAGCTGTGTCGATGGTAGTGTCCTAGCAAGTTCTGTCCCATCCAAGGACTGGACATGCCTTCTGTTTGTCTTTCTTAGAAAACGTTCAATTTGTCCCTGTTCATTTGCCACTGATGAGCTCAAGTACAAATGCTGTATTTGTTCTGAATAAACAAGGGATACAAAATCTAATTGGGACCCAGCATTGTTTTAACATGAAAGAAAAGTGTCCGAAATAAATTGCAAATAAATAGATAAACAGGAGGTCTTTGTGAGACTTAGTACCCTTGATCTCCCACTCAGCCACACACTCACATCAGGAGGAGCAGCCACTGCTCTACAACTATCCAACATTCACTACTGACTCCAAGTAGCTGGTTCAGCACACCAGTCGCCCTACCCTGGGATTTTGACTGGAAGTAAGGGCTTTGGTTGGTATGGTGTGAAGGCATCACTCCTTCTAATAGGTATGAAGGCAGAAGATCCTAACAAATTAGTTGGACAGTAGCTCAGAAGGCAACAAGGTGCACCCAAGGGCATAGTCATGAAGTATAGACGGGCAAGTTGCCAGTCACCTATGAAGTGTCTTGGACCTCATATAGTATTTGCCCCAGCATTGGCTCGATAAAAATACATGATTGCAAATCTGCTGATAGGTGTAGCAACAAGCATGGCAGGAGGAATAAATACTGACAACTGTTCACCACTCCGCAGTTTTCTGTCCATGCCCATGGCAAGTTGCGTCATAACCAAGCAGAGCTCTGCGATTGCCATCTTGCAGTCTAAGACATAGAGTCATAGAGTCATACAGCACGGAAACAGACCCTTCAGTCCAACCAGTCCATGCTAAACATAACCCCTAACTAAACTAGTCCCACCTGCCTGCTCCTGGCCCATATCCCTCCAAACCTTTCCTAACCATATATCCATCCAACTGTCTTTTAAATGTTGTAATTGTACCCGCATCCACCACTTCACCCGAAAGTTCATTCCAGATGTGAACAACCCTGTGTCTAAAAAATTTGCCTCTTATGTCTTTTTTGTATTTCTCCCTTTTCACCTTAAAAATGTGCCCCTAGTCATGAAATTTGCCATCTTAGGAAAAAAACAACTACCATCATCTCTATCTATACCTCTCATTATATTATAAACTTCTATCAAGTCATCTCTCAGCCTCCTACGCTCCAGTGAAAAAAGTCCCAGCCTATCCAGCCTTTCCTTAGAACTCAAGCCTTCCACACCCGGCAATATCCTGGTAAATCTCTTCTGAATCCTCTCCAGCTTAAATATATCCTGCCTATAACTGGACAACCAGAACTGGACACAGTACTCCAGAAGAGGCCTCACCAATGTTCTGTACAACCTCACCTAAGCATGCTAAATGCCTTTTAAACCATCTTGTCTATATGTGATGCAAACTTTAAGGAGTTATGTACCTGAACCCCTAGGTCCCTCTGTTCTACAACATTACCCAAGGCCCTACCATTAATTGTATAACCCCTACCCTTATTTGTTGTATCAAAATGCAATACCTAGCATTTCTCCAGATTGAACTCTACCTGCCATTTTTCAGCCCATTGACCAATTTGATTAAGATCCCTTTGTAATCTTAGAAAATGTCACCAATTTTGGCGTCATCCACAAACTTACTAAACGTGCCTTCTTTATTCTCAACCAAATCATACAGAAGGAAGAATTGTACAGTGACTTTTGAGAAATAGCAATGTCCCTTAAAAATATCTCAGGTGAATTTTAAATGCAGCTTTTACTGAAGATTCTGCTGTCTGTCCAGCAAATGCTAATTTCTACTCCCTTCATAGAACAAGCCCATATCACTTCATAACTATCTTGTACAATGTAATGCACAGTGTATGAAGAATTTAACAGGGGAAAATATAATGGTTGTTTTAAATATGTGGAGCTCTTGAGGCTAGTGCTCTAACTAAAGGTCAGACTCATAAAGAAGCCATGCTGTAATGTGTTTAGGAGCACTTTCCATGTATCTAATGACAGAAACCACTGGAGCTTGCATGGGGCGTGAAAGCACTGGAGTTCACAGCAATATATTGGGCCTGCGGCGGGAGGTGGAGAGTGAGACGATCCCTCCTTATGTTGAACAGTTCGAGGAGAGCGTACAAGATGACGTGATTATGGTTGGCAGCCTTTCACTGGAACAGGTCAGAGCTAAAAACTAAATAACTATGTCATTTCAGCCCTCTCTGTTGTTGTGCTGTCATCTCTCAGCACCCCACAACAAAATAATTCTTGCCATTTTCAAATGACTGTAGCAAGTTACCTTAAAAATGTTAATTTAGTGTATTGCTTGTTTTATTGAATTACTGTACTTTTGTTACAGTTTTAATTACAAATTACGAATCATTTGGAATTAAGGATTAGTGGTGCACTTATTGAAAAAATAGTTGAGAAAATTTGAATAGGCCGACCCACTAATAACCTCGTTTTTGTTCTATAAGAACTCCAGTGAATAATCTTTTTACTGAACATACAAAATAGCTGGAAGTACTTTCAGTCAATAACATTACAGGCCAACAAGAATTATTTGGAGAACCATTTCATATTTATATAGTTTTCTAGGATTAAAAAAAGGGGACAAATGTGCAGCTAAGGGTTATGTTAAAACATTGAACAAAATAACAATTTCTCTTGTATCATGTTTGGTACTCATGAGAATCATAATCTATATCTTTTTTATGCCTGAATAGGCCCAAGATCAACGACAGAGGATTCTTAATGCACACATTGATTGCCGGTCGCAAGAGAAGCATCTGGTTCTGTTGGAAAAGCTGTCTGTCAAATCACAGGAGGAAGAAACCAAACAACGAGTGATGGCATTTGTAAGGGAAAAAGCAAAGGTATCCTGGTCCCTTGCCATGCATGCTTTGATTGTACGATACTGAGTTTGTTTGTGGTTGAACGTATTATTGCCAGAAGATGTTTGCCATTAATTTCTTATCAAAGTCGCAATGATTCTTATTTACAATGAAGACCCAAAATCATTGGCTTTTGAGTTACTCTTCCTCACTTAGTCATGATTTATAAGCTTGCATTGCTATAGTTGACGCTGTGAAATCATGATAATAATCGCTACTTGTGCCTTTATTGACAAGTCTCAACAGTATGTTTATATTCAGCAAAAACTTTGGTCAAAATTTAAAACTGTGAAATTGGAATAACGCACACATTAAATATCCAGTGTAACACTAGCAATATGTGCTTCTGATCAATGGGATGTTTTCAGTTTTTGTATATTTTCAAGTGATTGTTACATAATGTAATAGTTTATTTTGTATTTGCAGTAAAAAACAGCTTAAGCTCACTTGGGTGGTACTTTTTCTCCCAGTGGATCACATTTTGTTCTTCAAGTGTAATCAAATAGTTTCAATACCTGCTACATTGACGTTTTTCTTTTATCAACAGGAATGTGCTTTGGTTATGTACAACTTAGCAATTACGCTAGAATAGCAAAGCTTAAAGGACAATATAAATGGTTTGTGTGCCCTGATTAAATTTGACAACCCTGCTGTACATAGCTATTATGTTGCATGGCGTTATTTGAGAAGTGTTTGCTTATTTACTGATTTGTATTTGAGTGAAAACTTTACATATTTTTCCTCTTCTGTCTCCTTGGGGCACTCACCAATTTTAACTGAGGAAGTGGATGGCAGATTGCTCTCAGGCCTCCAGTGATGTCATTTCAGATTGCCTCGAGACCATTTTGTATGTGTTACCACCAATACCACTTAGCTGAGTGTTTCTCCAGGGACTACATGGTCTGGTCTGCATGAGAATAGACACCTTCTGGTCTAACCAGAAGAGTCTCTTGTTACAAAAAAGATATTGTTTATTACACCTTGGCAACTATTCACATGTTAGAAGGAAATGGTATAAAACATTACAGAGACTATTTGGAGGACCTGGTCCTAGGTCTGACTCCCACAGGATTCGTATTATAGAAACCCCACAGTGTGGAAGCAGGCCATTTGGCCCATCGAATGAACACCAACCATCTGAAGAGCATCCCACCCAGACCCACCCCACCCCTGTAACCCCGCATTTCCCATGGCTAATCCACCTAGCCTGCACATCCCTGAACACTATGGGCAATTTAGCATGGCCAATCCACCTAACCTACACATCTTTGGACTGTGGGAGGAAACTGCAGCATCTGGAGGAAACCCACACAGACACAGGGAGAACAAGCAGAGTCCACACAGTCACCTGAGGGTAGAATCAAACTCAAGTCCCTGATGCTGTGAGGCAGCACTGCTAACCATGGAGCCACCGTGACCTCATAGTTACTCTTGCAGTCATCCTCCCTACCACTCCTCATATTATAATCACAGTAGGTGATGCTCAGGACACTCATTCTCTATTAACCTTTTGTTTTAAAATCTCCCCACCCCCAGCCTCATCCCATGACCAACCCTCCCTCTCATCCCCGCCTCCTTGACCTGAGACAACCTGTCTGTCTTCTCTCCCACTTATCCGTCCCTCCCACCTCACTGACCAATCCCCACCACTCTCTACTTCCACTCACCTATCACCATCCCACCTACCTTCTCCAGCCCCACCCCTCCTCTCGCTGTTTATGTCCCAGCTCCCTTCCGCCTCCCCATTTCTGAACAAGGGTCCTGACCTGAAACGTCAACTTTCCTGCTCCTCTGATGCTGCTGGGCTTGCTGTGTTCCTCCAGCTCCACACTGTCCTGTCCTTAATCTCTTGGATTTCTTTTCCAAAAGATATTGTCCCTGTTTGAGAAGGCATTATTTTCTTTGCAGTACTTTGAGTTCTTGGACATTGCTGCTCACTTCTTAGTGGTGGCATTCATGGAATGTATGCTCCTTAATTCTGTTTCGGTGGATATTTGTACTCTACCCATCTGTAGGTCTGTGTTTATGCATCGAGCTATTCCTTCAACTTGTTGACTAATTTTAGGTTTTTGCATTCACCTTCAGTGGATGGTGAAACAATTGTTTTCTTCCTCACTTTTGATTTTCATTACTGTTAATGGAGGCTCTCCAATGGAAGATAACAAGGTCAAATATTTCAACTTCACCTTGTCTCTTCCGAGTTACCTCAGGATTTTGCAATAGACTTCAATCTATTATCACTAATTGTTCATGGAGTTGTGATGCAATCTTAAGTGGGGTATACTTTTCATTGGCTAGCCTGTTGTTTTTGTTTCCTTGCAAACTTTTCTGGTTCTCAGTGTCTAAATTTTCTTCACTGTTGACAGTCCAAAATATTTCCACCAAAGCAGTGAAGTCACAACTTTGTAATTCATTGATGGTGTTAAGCAAATTTCCTACTCCAACATTATAAATCTCAGGGTTATCTGTTTTTAGTTCAGGGTCCACCATGAGTCTGTGAAGCCCTATAAAATAGTCTGCTGACCCTTAACCCTTTGTTTCTGGCTACGGTATTTAGGAGCACATGCAGCTACAGATGGTTTGTTTGATTCAATCATCAACACCTAGAAATGATTTCTTTTTGATGATGCTAAGGCTGTGAAGAGAACCTTGCATGATCCTAACAGGAAAGAAAATGTGGAGAATGAGAAACTTCTTACATACCTACTCAGCTCTGCAAAGGAGGACTGCTTCCCAGATTTCCTGCTGTTCCTCTTTCTCTCTCTCTCTCTCTCTCTATCCACAAACAATTGATAAACAGGAGAATCTCTGTGGGAACACCCATTTTCCAATCTACAACTTCATTAAATACAAGCTGCAGAAACAAGAAGAAGTCCTAAGAGAGACTTCCAAATGAAGTTGAGTGCTTTGGAAATCAGGAGAAAAATAAGAATTACATCTTACTGTGTTCTGAGACTTTTTCAGACGAGGTCAACTAAACTTCATGTGGTTAAATGTGATCCTGTGGTAAATGGCTGCAATTATCTTTTTGCTTAGTGTGTGGGGCATGTGTGCAAGTAACTGCTGGGCATTGTGGGAATTTGGCATTTGATTGATTTTTTTTAGTTAATCGCAGGCAGTCTTAGAAGTCTTAATGAGCGGTCAGTTATTTGTACAGATTTATCTCTTTCAGAATAATAGCTAATGGTGATGGTTTCCTGTGCCCTATCTCATGCCAGCATGATGCCAAAACCTCTTTGCCATTGTATTGCTAAATGTTTACCATAAAGGACAACTGAATGGGGGTTCCTGCACAAGCGAAGCACCTATTATCCGCATGCTGCAACTGCACATTGCTGCTTTTATAATATGATGGGACTACCTGCTGCTGTTTGCAGCGAGTCTGTGGATTGTAAGGTCAAGTTAGCAGTTACCTTGAATGTCAGTGGTAGATGTATGTTCCAGATGTGACTTCAGCACTGTTTAGATTTATATAAAGGCTTTCTTTGGGAAATGTGCTCTTCTCTATGAAGGTGACTTCCTGCGTGTGCAAGAATGCTTGACCCTGTAATGACATAATGACAGATGAAGCAGACACAGAGAAAGTGCCAGTGCACCTGTCTGGCAATGCTTCTACTCAACCCTCTTTCTCTACAACCTGTAAAAATGGGAGAATGTCAAAAGGACTTGCTGTAGAAGCAGCACGATGTGAAGACTTCAGATATTCAGGTCTGCAGTAGTAGATAAAAGGCAGCTTTTTAAAGCTCATTGCACTGATTCAGGCCTTGCTGTACCTGACTAGAATAACAGTGAGAAAAGCAACTACCCAGTGTTTGAGAAGAGAAGCAAATATAGAAATGATTTAATTTTTTAAAAAGTCTACATAAATAATGGTAGAATCTCCACTGCATCACCTCATTCTTTTATTATAGCCTGTAATTGTTGTCTGGTGTCATTTTATGTGGAAATATTACCTTTTGTTGAACATTATCTTCAAAGTATACAGAGGATAGGATTTAATGTGAGGTTTCTTCAAAGAACCATTGCTCAGTAATTCTAAAAGCCCATGTGATTTTACATTATTGACAACACTAATATCTTATTTACAGATTAACATTAACCCTGTATATTGCAGTGATAATAACAAATGCTGAACATGTGGACCTTTGACAGTGCATTGGAATGTATGTGCACATTAGATGCTAAATAGATCTTAGATGATAATGCATGACAATTTGGAACAGTTGGTTTATGTGTATGCCTTGTTTTCAAATAGTAGACTCCCTACCTCTGGCCATTCTAGTTGAACCTTTTTGTTACCAACCATTGTAGGTATATGATAGGGATAGTTTGCTGCCACCAATCCTCATTTCTATGATGAGTCTAAATTTAAGTGTCTAATTATCAGTGGCAGAGAATAGAATGTGATTGAGTCTTAACAAGAAGAGGCACTTGTTTTACATAAGCATTATGGCAATAGATAAAATTAACATTAATTGAATATAATTATAATTGTCAGCAGCCAGGGATGTCTCATGTATCCATATCGGGATCTTGTGTAAAACTAACTGTTTCTCCACCCAAAAACTGTATCACATTTCAGATTAGGCAGAGCTGGTACAGCTCAACTAATTCAGAACCATTGCCTTATACAATAATTCTTGTTTAAATTCAGGTTATTTTTAATGGACTGTAAACTTTTGTATACACAGCATTCTGTATCTGTGGGCAGGCAGGACTGTCAGTGCAAACTTTACCCACCACAATATAAACAAGAAGCATTGGCAGGTGCAATGATGTCTTCCCATCATTGTTGCTTTAATAACATTAAGTAACCAAAAGTTGCATTCATGACTTTCTGATTAACAAACTGGCATCCGAATGAAGGTTCTTGCTGCAAGAACATTTTTGTGATAAACGTCACAATAGGTGTTTAAAAGTAGTTATTAAGACCACACACCTTTTACCCGACTTTTCAACCAGTGACGATGGCAACATAGTTC